TGGTTGAGTTCAGATGCATAATTAATATTTTATTTTGCTCTTTCTCAAAAACAAAAAGAACACAAAACCTCTTTTAACTTTAAACTAAAGTAAACCAATGTGAAGTTTTTTATAAACTACAACATATATACTAATTTTTTAACACTAGAATGTTCAAGAACACTAGATCATCATATTCATGTTTTAACATAAGGACATTCAAGAGCACTAGGTCATTATACTTGTGTTTTAATATAAGGATGTTCAAGAGCACTAGGTCATCATACTCGTGTTTTAATATAAGGATGTTCAAGAGCACTAGGTCATCATACTTGTGTTTTAATATAAGGATGTTCAAGAGCACTAGGTCATTATACTCGTGTTTTAACATAAGGATGTTCAAGAGCACTAGGTCATTATACTCATGTTTTAACACTCGGATGTTCAAGAACACTAGGTCATCATACTTGTGTTTTAATATAAGGATGTTCAAGAGCACTAGGTCATCATACTTGTGTTTTAACACTCGGATGTTCAAGAACACTAGATCATCATACTTGTGTTTTAACATAAGGATGTTCAAGAGCACTAGGTCATCATACTTGTGTTTTAACACTAGGATGTTCAAGAACACTAGATCATTATAGTCGTGTTTTAACACTCAGATGATCAAGAGCACTAGGTCATCATACTTGTGTTTTAATATAAGGATGATCAAGAGCACTAGGTCATTATACTCGTGTTTTAACATAAGGATGTTCAAGAGCACTAGGTCATTATACTCGTGTTTTAACACTAGGATGTTCAAGAGTACTAGGTCATTATACTCGTGTTTTAACACTAGGATGTTCAAGAACACTAGGTCATCATACTTGTGTTTTAACAATAGGATGTTCAAGAACACTAGATCATTATACTCGTGTTTTAACACTCGGATGTTCAAGAACACTAGGTCATCATACTTGTGTTTTAACATAAGGATGTTCAAGAGCACTAGGTCATCATACTTGTGTTTTAATATAAAGATGTTCAAGAGTACTAGGTCATTATACTCGTGTTTTAACACTCGGATGTTCAAGAACACTAGGTCATCATACTCGTGTTTTAATATAAGGATGTTCAAGAGCACTAGGTCATCATACTTTTGTTTTAACATAAGGATGTTCAAGAGCACTAGGTCATTATACTCGTGTTTTAACACTAGGATGTTCAAGAGCACTAGGTCATTATACTCGTGTTTTAACACTAGGATGTTCAAGAACACTAGGTTATCATACTTGTGTTTTAACACTAGGATGTTCAAGAACACTAGATCATCATATTCATGTTTTAACATAAGGACATTCAAGAACACTGGGTCATCATACTTGTGTTTTAACATAAGAATGTTCAAGAGCACTATGTCATCATACTTGTGTTTTAATATAAGGATGTTCAAGAGCACTAGGTCATCATACTCGTGTTTTAACATAAGGATGTTCAAAAGCACTAGGTCATTATACTCGTGTTTTAACACTAGGATGTTCAAGAACACTATATCATTATACTCGTGTTTTAACACTAGGATGTTCAAGAACACTAGATCATCATATTCATGTTTTACCATAAGGACATTCAAGAACACTGGGTCATCATACTTGTGTTTTAACATAAGAATGTTCAAGAGCACTATGTCATCATACTTGTGTTTTAACACAAGGATGTTCATGAGCACTAGGTCATCATACTTGTGTTTTAACATAAGGATGATCAACAGCACAACATTATGATGCACGTGTTTTAACAAAATGAGTTGTGAATTCCAAAGCATAAAAAAAAAATCCTGTCATTCTCCATTGTGGTAACTGTCGTTCACCTGTGCAGAAAGTGAAACATACATTACTTGTAATGTGTGTCTAGAACATTACATTATTACAGTGAGAATGGCTATCAGTAACTCCAGATGTTGTGGACATAGCTGACACAGATGTATTGGGTAAAACTAATAAAAACCATTTTCAAAGTTATTATTCGGTTGAACATTTACAGATATTCAAAAGATGAAATGCAAAAACAAATGTCCATAAAGAACTAATAAAATGACCTTGAGTATTGATTGTAACGATATAAAGTTTTATACCATACACAGTGACACAGAAGAACATACATGCAGATTTTTTTATACTTTCTGCTTTTATAAAACCAACGTTTTAGAGAATGTAGGTAATGTTCCCCATAAATCAAGAAAATAATTACCAGTAGTTGGGACACTTGACACTAAAAAAACACATCACTAGTGTGTCCAGGATAGCTACACAAGAACAAAAATAAGTTACCAATAATAAGGGGTTTTAGACAGTACCTGTTTTAAGAAATTAGCAGGGGAGGGGCCAACAGCTGAAGGAAAAGGGCCTTAACAACAACAAGGCAAGCCTCTAAAATTCAAGTCAATATAATTAAATAGAAAACAATAGTTCAGAAGACCTTGGTTGTTATATTTGGCATTTGAAGGTTAAAACAAGGCAGAGATTAGAAATTCTTGAGTAGGGGCCCAAGAAATGAACTGCCCCCCTCCTTTTGTACCTGAAAAATGGCCCTGCTTTTAGTCATTTAAAATCAGTAAGTAAATGGCAAAAAAAAAAAGAAATTAAAAACATGTTTCTAAAGAAGACCCTGAAATCGCAAAATAACATAGCATAAAATAAAAAATATACTTATACCTAATTCTTAATTTGCACCTCAACCTCATTCAGACAGCAATATTATACCCATAATGGCACATACTGCTAAAGTATCAATGACAAATAATGATAACCATATGCTGTATATACAATATTATGTGGGTGGAAAGATTACATTTAGAAGTTTCAAGTCAAATGTATTATAATTACTTAATCCCCAGTATGTGGGTCTAGACCGAATTCAGAGGGAACTGGGTGGACTACAGACTAGTGTCAGTTTCCAGTATTCAAGCTAGAATAAAAAAAGAATGGTATTCCGATAAAGGACAGAAATCTGCATTTTACAGTGAAAAGGACTCATCTTTTAATAGTGTTTCACAACGAAGTAATGGAGTTTATGGGGTTGGCCAGATTGTGTTCCTTTTGCATAAAATAGTAGAAGTATTAATTTTCAAGGAAGTAATACATTTAGCCACCTTGTAGTGGCAAGTAAGCTTCAATGAACTTCCCTCACCCATCTTTATCGACAGAATTCATAAAACCACTGAGAAAGTGACTTCACAGAGCTAGGGATCCAGATCTTGTATTATGCAACATTATGTGGCCACTACCATGTGTTATGAGGAATTATGGATGGCGAGTATGGGACTTACTCCATCATAGCCTGAAAGCTACTGTGAATTTGGCCATGCTGGTGGACAATTCAGAAACCAGATATCTCTACTCAGAATTATATTAAAAAAAAAAGAAACTGCAGAAAGCTTCTTTCAGAAAACAACTCACCAAATGTGTCTCTCTGTCTCGAAGACTGAGCATTAAATAAAACAGATATATAGTAACTCGAGACAAAAATAAATTTAAACACTTTTTGTGTCAAAAGCATCAGATTGGACTTTGATTACACACCAGTCTTAAATTTTGAGTCCTACTGTTCAATACACTAGAAGCAACCTATATTTCTTTAGCTAGATCCCAATACTCAGTTACATCCAATTATCACAACCAGACTTTTCTCACATAATATATACAGAGCCAATCAAACAAAATTCTAACACTTTCCTGCCACTAAGTTAGTTTTGGTCAATTTTTCTACTTTACCAAAAATAAACAACATTTGTACAAATGCAACAAAACTCTAGTCACTTGTTGTGTAGTTGAAAAATAAAATTTGCTAAAACTTAACTGCATACCATTTTCAGAGTTTTCACTTTTCAAGGTAATTCATCACATGTGAGATGGAAATTTAAAATGTCAGAAATGTGTATGTTCATTCAAATTGAACGATTTTCTCTATAACTGTACATATAACACAAATAGTATGTTTTGCTCAATCTACTGGCTCCAAGAATTTTTATTAAATTTTTGCTTGAAATTACATCCATATTTTTCTTTTTAAACTTAGGTAAAAAAAAACAATGTAAGTCAATGTAGCCTCTTTCTAATGAATAGCCGCAATAATTCTCTGGCTAAGTTCGGAGTTACTCTGTAAGCAACAACTGCCATCAGAACATTTATGCCTTTAATAGAACTCATCAAAGAAATTCTATACGAATAACAAGATTTTAGTGTGTCAAGAATTTTTGGCATGATTGGACTAAAAGTATAAAGAAAAAATTTAAATAAATCTTCAAGACACATTCCCAATATTTGACCACATAGTAAAAAGCCTCAAATAATCATCTGACCTGGATATTTGCAATACTGGCAAAAAACCATTTTTCAACACATCACTAAGTTCATACTATTCCTTAGAATAGTTTCTTTAAAAAGCTTGCCTTCCATAAATCATTAACTGATTTGAAAATGTTCTTGTTCTAATTATAGTGTAATAAAATGTTATAATAGTATTTGTCATCTTACTCCTACATTCAAAATTTCTCACACCTGTTGGTTTTATAATTTTTTCTTTTGCACAACAAAATCTACACAGATCCTAAGACAATGGACTTTTACAATCTAAATTGTTTAAAAAACTGTAAATTAATAACTACAGGATCTACAGCTAATTTATAGTTTTAAAGACTTCTTGCTGCAAATTTGTCTGATCATTTTAACTTAATTAATAAAAAACGAGCACTTTCATTTCCCATGTCGTGTTTTTAAAATTTCAATTTGATTTTACTTCTTACTAACTTAACGAGGTAATAATTGATAAATAAGGATGAGAGTAATAAGAACTGTACTACTAGCATGGCCTTGTTTAAAATTTTGCCTTGCAATTATCTTTCTAACAGCAGTCACTGTTTTTTTTTATGTCTTAGTTTCATAATTCAAATGTAATGAATTTAAAGTATGAAAGATATATCAAGTTCCATGCCAATTTTGTTAATTATTAGTCCTACAAGTAGAATATAAGCCTACCTGTTTCGATTTCTTGTATTTCTTTTTGGTTGCAGTGTTGAGGTCTTCATGCACTTTGTCCAAAAGCCACAATAAAAACTCCTGTGCATCATGCTGATTACTGCCTTCATACTGAGTCCCATACTTTGAAACAGTACTTTTGAATTTATTAGATATTTCTGGAAGGTACTGACAACTCCAAATTGATTTAAGTAACACACCTAGTTGTTCAGTTACTTCACCTTTTGTTCCATATTTTCTGGCATGAATTTTATTTCTTCTCAACAAGTCCACTCTATAATGGTTCATTACAAAATATTCTGCAAACATATCTGTATTACTTAAGCATTGAATTATTGCATTCATAAAACACGTATTTCCATGGTTATGAATACCACTTACTGCTGGAATTTTATCTTTTATTAAAGGTTCAGGAAATTCTGACGCTGCTGTAGTTCCTAGATCACACACTAAATGTTGAGATCTGATGTCTGTGTTTGATGCAGACACATGTTTTAGTTTGCTATTTTTACTGGTTTCAATTTCAAAATCACATGCATGAGTACTGCTGGTAGTTATTGAAACATTTGATGGAATTGCCAATTGCGATAAGTGACGTCTAAAAAGTCTTCTTAAAAATCCATGGGATTGTTTACCATTTTTATCACAAACCTTTTTTTCTTCTTTTTTGCTCTTCCTAACTGTTGTAGGCTCAGGTTCTAACTTAGAAGAAGGTTGCAAAACTTCTCTGTTTTTCTTTTTCCTTACTCGTTTACGACCACTCATCAATCTTGGTAGAGTGAAGAAACCAGAATGGAATCTATTTACTTTCGAACCGTCGATTAATAAATCGCTAACGTCTGTAGCTACATCAACAACAATTCCCTCTTCAACATCAGCTAAATCACCTTCTGACGCGGATTTCGAATACTTCGGTTTTTTTGCTTCTGTCATTTTTCGGCACTGGAAGTTAACATTCATTTCAAAACTCAATCCATGTGTTCAGTCGGAAACACCGGTGCTCGTCAACCACCCATACCATACTAAACATTCAACTAAGAATCGAAACTGTCGAACACAACCAGCTCAAACAATTACTCGCTCACACTCAAAGTTAGAAAAATTACTATAGAGGGCGCTTGTCAAGGTAAAGTCGGGACCGTTTAATCTATTATATAAGTTGATATTATCTGTTTTCATTTCTTATTTGTCTATATCGAGCAAGGAGATGAGTAATTAACCAACTACGAAAACAACATAAACGTAAGCATGAAAAAGCGTATTTGATAGAATTTGACACAATTCGTAGTTTTTAGCCTTATTAGTATTATATTAATTTACATTCATGATGGTAAATATTGAATTCCACCATAAGCCTAATAACAAATCTTATAACTTGTAGAACCTACAATATCTAAATAATTTCTCAGTTTCTATAGATGCTTATTGACTGTCTAAAACTCTCATGTTACCTCCTAATATAATATAATATAATATACAGTATATAGTTATAATATACTAAGATATTATTAGAAATAATACCGATGTTATGCAAATTAGACCATAAAGAAAATACATCTGTCTTCATTAGGATTTAAGCAATACGGTAAGCTTGAGGACTTATGACACTCAAATTCTGGGTTCGATCCGTGCGATGGACAACGCCCAGAATACTCATTAGCAAACATGACAAAGAAATAAACAAATTATACGAAACACACAAAAACAAACAAAAAATCATCAAATAGTACAAGACACATCAAAAATTATGAATATCTTTTAAAAAAAATACACATTATTTTAAAACGTGATCCGAAACAAAAAAAAACGACTGCTTCCTTGTTCTTTGTAAGTGAAAACAATGCAGGATACCTTACTCAAAAATCTCTTCGTTAGTCATCCACTTAAATTTATCTTTGCCAACTGGTACTCACAATTTTATCTAAGACCTACTCTAATCAGCACAGTCATGGAACACAGTTTGTTTGGCATTACATTCCCTTAGACAACTTTACCAAAAGCGATCAATATTCAGTGGCATCACATTCCCTTAGACAACTTTACCAAAAGCGATCAATATTCAGTGGCATTACATTCCCTTAGACAACTTTACCAAAAGCGATCAATATTCAGTGGCATCACATTCCCTTAGACAACTTTACCAAAAGCGATCAATATTCAGTGGCATCACATTCCCTTAGACAACTTTACCAAAAGCGATCAATATTCAGTGGCATCACATTCCCTTCCACCATGACTTTATATCGGTTGTTATCGAGACGTGATTTGTTGATTTGCTCAATCAGAATCGCTTTAATATATAGTATTCAAGCTTGTATACATTTTCACGAGATTGAAAATGGTAGAACACCAAGGTTTTTACAACTAAAAAAAAATCTAGATTTATATACACACACGCACACAATCTTGCTACTTGGGAATATTTAAGCAAATCATAATCTATACAGCTCCCCTGTATAGACCATGGGTGAGTAACCAATTTTTTTTCCTGGTTATGGATGTGTCCAGTCGATCATAGAAATGGCCACACTATTAATAAAACAGAAAATTTTCACTAAATAAATTTATTTCAGGATTCTAATGACAGTCAAGGTCAATTATAAACACAACGCAAAAGTCCAAAAAAAAATACTTTTTCAAAATTACAAAAGCGGGAAATTTCAATGAGAGATTTGATATTATTTTTCTCTGACCAGCTAAAGAAAACACTATCGATGATTCTACGAATTGGCAACACATTTTCGCAAAATGGCCACACATGGCCCTTGGTCAATGGGCTGCCCACACAGGGTATAGACTGATATATATAAATAAGTTTTCTTGTGTAGTTTGTTATTATTCGGTCCGGTGTGGCCAGGTGGTTAGGGAGCTTGACTCGCAATCTGAGGGTCGCGGGTTCGAATCCCCGTCACAAACATGCTCACCCTTTCAGCCGTGGGGGCGTTATGATGTGACGGTCAATCCCACTATTCGTTGATAAAAGAGTAGCGGTGGGTGGTGATGACTAGCTGCCTTCCCTTTAGTCTTACACTGCTAAATTAGGGACGGCCAGCGCAGATAACCCTCGTATAGCTTTACGCGAAATTCAAAACAAACAAACAAGCTTATTATTATTCATTTATGAACAAAGTTTACAGGTAGCAACTTCCGGCCTTAAACACTGATCGTGTAGTGACGTGTTTGATAATTTTTTAAATTCATTTGCACTACAATGAAGAACGCATTCACGAAGTTATTTCGTTTTGACGAAAAAGGTTTCGCTAAACAGATTTCTCACCTTTTTTAATCGCGTTATAGGTGTGAGGGTCATTGTCAAAGCCAATTGATATCTTACTGTTTTCATTTGCGTCACATCAAGTCTTGGAAATACGAGGAGACAACAATAGCTATACAAATTGAATCAGAAGACTCGTGTCAATAGTTCTTTATGTAAACCATAAAATTTTAAAATATTTCTGGCGTGATTGTTCTTTAGCTGTTTCCATTTTAAAGTTAACCGTTAGAGAATTACTGCTGCCTTGTTTCATGATGAGATTAGTGGATTGTTATAAGATGACGTAGAGATAAAGACGAAGCAATTTGTGAATTATTTTTAGATATAATATAATGAAAGTGTGTTCCTATTTAAATATTCACATATTTAGTCTTACAGGACGAACTGAATGATTGTTTTGATTTTTTTAAAGCTTGTCTAAATAACATCATATCAAAATATTAAAGGATAACATTGCTTCGTGAACATAGAATAAAGTATTAGAAAATAGTCTTTCTGACTTGTATGCTTTTGTAACTTTAGCTTTAGGGCTAATCCAATAAAAATAAAATATTTAACAACTTCGCTGTTTATTTGTTGCCAAGGACAAAGCTTTACCCACCGCGAGTATCGAAACCCGATTTTTAGCATCCTAAACTCTCAGATTTAACGCTGAGCCACCGGGGGGGGGGGGCACGTCTATCAACAACAAACCCACATACACAAAAACACATCAAAAGTGATAGTTGTAAACTTCGCTGATAGATGTCGCAAAAGTGTTTACAATTTCTATATTGAGCAACATTCTAGCGATTAGTATCTCTCAGTAGGCCTAGTGAATGCAATAAAAGCATGGGTTAAAAGTTATATTATGCTACTTGCATACGAACTATGTAATGATATTTTCGTTTAATGGAATATTAGCATATAAACTTTGATTAATAAAAAAACTAATTTTTAATATACATATATTGAAGTTCTGGTAATATTTCTGAACTAGAAGTACGTCCTTACATAAGACAGATATACACCGTTAATTCCTAAACATTTTTGAAACTCTGTAATGAAAAACTAATAGTTTTCCTGCTATCGCTTTAAACGTCATACAAAAACAGAAACAGTGTGCAAGTGATTTTTTTTTTCAATAACTTAAAAATGGGAAGACAGTTTCTTATTTTATGTTTCATGATTGCGGAAGTTGATAAAACGAAAGAGACGTTGTTCCAGTGGTACTTTAGGAAGACTAGATATAATAAATATTGTTATGTCTCCGTTTGTTAATTGATTTTCCGCAACTTCGTTCCGACGAAACTTAAGCGACACAAG